CATGAAGCCAGGTATGTATCCGCAGCCGTCTCCTTCGTTGTGCTCCTGTTTGTGGCTCTGCTTTTCAAGGATGCAGAAGAGATTTTTGGTACACAGGACCAAGATGCAGATGAGGAATCGGGCGACGCCGGCAAGTCCGTGATGGTTCAGAAATCAAAATCCAACACTTCAACCAGCGGAGGCGTAAGCAAACCCACCTACAAGGACCCGATCCTTTGGCTTGTCATGGTGGCGCATGCGTTCCTCTTCCTGACTGCCTCAGCTTTGCTTCTGGTTCTTCCCTTCTTGCTGGAGTACCCCGCATTTGGCCAAATCGATCCTTCCTCGGTTGAGCAGTCCCGGGAGAATGTGGCCGCGGCAACGTCCCTCGTCATGGTCCCACACGGTGTGCTCAATCTCGCATTCTCAACTGTTGGCTTCCTTTTTATCTCATCAAAGATTGGAGACCGGGCGTGTCTGCGAATCGGCTCGATTGGAGGAGCAGTCATGTTCTGTTTGTACGGTTTCGGTGCCACCGAATTCTGGCATCTGTTAGTGTACCATGGGCTGTCTGGCCTGTTCGTCGGGCTCATGGTTCCTGCGATCACCCCGACCCTGACGTCCTACAACTTGGTTGTGCACCCCACCAAGAAGTCGCAAGCCTCCGCCTTTCCCATGTTGGGAATGCAGATTGGCCAGATCTGCGGGCCATTGCTATTCGGCTTTCTCCTTGGTGGAGGGCAGGATCGCACTGTCATGAATATCATCTGGTTGGCAGTCGGTGACTTGCATCGATAGCAGGCTAGGTCGGGTACGGTCGACGATTTTCGCTTTGTGGCGACGGGTTGTACTCTTTTGGTGCTTGCTGAAACTGATGTCATTCTCTGGCTAGTTGACACGTGCTAGATAGAGTTTAAGACCTTAGTATCAAAGTCTACTTTTGATTAGTCGAACATCAAAGTTGTGATCTTTCTTGTTTGGAAGCTACACATTCCATGCACTTCAGGTTGGCGGCTTTCTGTCATTTTGCAGTTGCAAGCTTGTGGCAATGCTTGCCTGTGTGCAGAGTATCGTGGAGGGTGGAACGTGTACCCCGCTTGTCCCGACAGGTCGTGGGGGCTGTAAACAGAGAACGCGCCGCAAGAAGCTGTTGTTGCCAGCAAGCAGCAAGCCCTAAGGATTGATGTGGCTTGTGGGCTATATTCTGCTGGATATTAGCTTCGAGGTAATCAGGAGGCATCCAGCAATGCGGGCAGCTCGAAAGAGCCAGGACATGTCTGCAGAGCAGATTCAGAACATGCTTACAGAAAATGCCAAGGACTACGATGTTTTTGTGCCTCACAAGTTTCTGTCAGTTGTGTTTGAATTTTTCTTCGTGCTGCGTAGTACTCAGGGATCAATA